ATCTGTAATGAGTCATAGAAGTGATTAATTCAACTTTTTACTACACATCATATAGTAAAAAAAATAACCAAACATTTTCCAGTAAAGCAAAGAAAATCTACGCAAATCACGATAAATACTGACCTAAAAATATTGTTTGGGCTTTCATATATAGATTGCATCTATTGACAAGTTGAGAAGCAGTATGATGCAGGACTCGTATTGAAAAGTGTGAGAGCTCAGAGCACTAACCCAGACCCCGTGAGATAAGGGCATGCAAACGTCATCTCCTCCTTACACTTTGTCACTCAGACCACAGTGACCTTCCTCCAACAACAGGCCGGTCTGGGTGAGTGAAATCACAGGAGACACGGGCTGACCCAAGAGTCTGGCCTGGTTAGGTTAGGCTTGGTTAGACTTGGTAAGGCTTGGTTAGTTTCTAAGGCTGCGGGAAGCAGAGTGAGAATGTGGTTAAATATTTCATGTGTTCAGTGGAAGGGCAAACAGTTAAAAGGAAGTGTACTGAAGCTGGTATTTCTGTGGTCTAAAATGGTTGACTGCAATGTTCTGCAGAAACTTGTACTTCGACTTTTGGCTGTAGTTACTACTCACATGTTTTTGAAAGATATAAAGCTAGTAGTAGACTGAAGCTTGTAAGATCAATGCATGCATGTAATTTCTTACATTATGTGGTTAATAATATGACTGTCAGTTTGTCCAGAGATGGTCTATAAGTTCCCTGATTTATCAAAAGAGGATTCTAATGAAATAAGATTGTCAGTTCAGGGGAAAAAAACCACACACACACACAAACACAAACACAAAAAAACAAACTGTGTTAACATAACTTGCACTGTGTAATATTTCAAACGGAGAGTCCACCACCTGCTTATCTCTATGAAAATGTTATTCCTTTGTCTAGAATGTTCCACAGTATAGATTAAGCCTATCTATCACAAGGGAGACAAGCAGGTTAGACCAATACACCACATTACAATTCAGATCTGTGCAGAGTCTACCCTTTTTACAGAAGGAATTATTGTATTTCTAAGCAAAAGAAACACAGGCAATGAATAAATATGAGATGGATATGCTTAATGTCATAACATGGAACAGAAAAGTTGCTCAGTGCCCCTTTAACTATGATCTAGAATTACATAACTAATATATGTATATTTTTAAAATCATTATTAATTCAATTTAATCTAATTAACAATGTTCTGTAGTGCTTTCTGATCCACCAATTAAAAAATAATAAAATTCCACTGTTTTATCAGCCTGGTGGTATTATTTATTTCCTTTTAAAGAAATAAATTAGGCAAAAATTACTTAAATGAATGTAATTTCATCTCAGGACTTCACCATTATTGTGAAGATAGGCCTACAGAGAACCATTGTTTTCTGATCAAGCCTTCATGGACCATCTTCTGGCTCCCCCACACACAAACACTCTCCCCTCTCCCTATCCCGTCTAATCCCATGTCTTGTCCATTACTTTGTCGAAATCATAGTGTTGTGTTTGCTCCTCTTGGACCCTCTGGCTGCCTTGTTCAGAGCCCCTCCAGCACTTCCTGTATGTACCACCAGATTTCATTATGTCTGTAGAGTTTCCCAGTCCGTGTGTGAGGAGGGTCTGTCAGAGGAGGGTCTGTCAGAGGAGGTTGAGCCCCAGGGGGAATGTGCATCCTGTGCTGCTCCACTGTCAGGCTCTGGCTCTGGGAGGGGATACAGTCTGTTATACAAGAAACACCTTTTGGACTCTTCTGTCAACACATCATTCATCTTATGCATGTATATGTAATCAGAATAGATCAGAACAAGTTCATTTTCAAATTACAAATACTGAGGAATGATTTGTCTTTTAAGTGTTATTGACTGGTTCATTTATATCAATTGCCCTTTGTGATCCAACCATTCCCATGTCCTAAATTTAATATCGACAGTTTGCAATTCTATTATATTTGCGTACAGATTACTTAAAACTGGACAGAACAGAGCAAGTTCAAAATGGATAATGATTAGTTTTTTCATTTTTTGATTTGGTGTTTCAGGACTGAACCAGGACTGAACCAGGACTGAACCAGGACTGAGCCAGGACTGAGCCAGGACTGAGCCAGGACTGAGCCAGGACTGAACCAGGACTGAACCAGGACTGAACCAGGACTGAGCCAGGACTGAGCCAGGACTGAGCCAGGACTGAGCCAGGACTGAACCAGGACTTAACCAGGACTGAACCAGGACTGAACCAGGACTGAGCCAGGACTGAGCCAGGACTGAGCCAGGACTGAACCAGGATTTAGCCAGGACTGAGCCAGGACTGAGCCAGGACTGAACCAGGACTAAAACAGGACTAAAACAGGACTAAAATAGCTCTAAACCGATCTCAGTTCTAGTCTCAGTGAACCAAACTAGAACCGGGAATGAGACCAGGACTGAGACCAGGATTGAGACCTGGTTTAGTCCTAGTTCAATTCTGGTTTAGTCCTGTTTTAGTCCTGGTTCACTCTGGCATCGCAGTTTAAGTCACGAAAACAGGAAACGGCCATTATTCATTTTTTCCATTATTCATTTAATCACCAAATCGAAAAATGAAAAAACAAATCGTTATCCACTTTTTCATTTTGGTTTTGAAGACAAATAATGAAGAAAACTGTTGGGTTTTTTTTGTTTTGTTTTCTTATTTTTGGTTTTATATTAAAAAAAACAAATGAACGAATACTACACGGATTGAAAAACATGAAGGGCCTATATTACACTATTTTCTCATCTATGTTATAATGTTGTTTTCTCATCAAAAACATACCTGGAGTTGTATTTTGTTTCATTTACACATGTTTAACACGCACACCTTGCATATTTAGGCTAAGTTCTTCTCTCAACCAGAAAACACCTTTACTAGAATCATTTGGATAACTTCAGCCTGTCCTGGAAATTCTGAAAATCTGTAAAATAATACCAGAACATACAAGAAGACTGTCTAGGTTGGTTTATTACGTTTGCACTGGTAACAAACAGTCTCACTACTGACGGACAGAGTTTCTGCCAGCAGTGAGCCCAGAGCAGTGGGGTAACAACACTTCGATACTTTCTGAGGTCCAAGCCCTTCCCAAGAAAAGTTTGCATTTAGGTCAGTCTGACTGCCATATGGCTTTCTTAACATTGAAATGTAACACCTTTACATTAGAATCTGAGTACAAGTGAAGATGTGACATAACTATCAGACGTAAATGAGTCTCAAATGTCAAACCCAAAGGTACATAGAGGCTTCCTGTGAGAGAAAGGATAAGACAAAGAATAGTGTGGCTTTTAACACTTACTTGGACAACAGAAAGAACAACACCCAATACTAAAATTTCCACCACAAGCCCTGGAATTGCCAATCTCTACTGCACAATTGGTAAAAGGTAGATGTTAACTTATTCTGAGCATTTGAGACATAGATGGACTAATAATAAAGGGTTACAGATTTGTAAATGAAATAAAACACAAGTCCAGGTATGTTTTTGATAAGGTAAAATCATTATAACATGGCTTAAAGCTCACAAGATCAATTTTTGACATTTTAAATAGACTGGACCTTTTGCACACTCTTCCTTTGCTTTTCTATGCCTGTGTTTTCTGAAAGGAATTGAAATTTTGTTTTTGCGCGTAAGCTATGAAACTCAATTATGTGACACAAGACTTTTAAAGGGATTTTCTGATCTATTGTATAATGTTGTTTCCTCATCACAAACATATCTGGAGTTGTATTTTTTTTCATTTTGATCTTTGGAGATGTAGACAGACTGATAATAAAGGATTATTCAGACGTGTGAATGAATAAAAAAAACACAACTCCAGGTACGTTTTCAAAGAGGTAAAAACATCACAACAGGGCTTAAAGCTCACAAGAGTCGGTTTTGTGTAATATTGGACCTTAACTAGTGAACCATGAGAAGCAGCAGTCTGTCTGGGTAGAGATTCAGGGAGTGTCCAGAAAACACTGTGTGAAAAGGTTATGCAAAGTCTGTGCAGAGCTCGGCGGCCCGTGTCCTCCTCTCGTCTCTGTCTCTCCATCTCTCCATCTCTCCATTCGGCTGCAGCTAAAATGTCATGTGCAGAGTCCAAGGGTGAGAGGCTGTCCACGTGTCCTCGGATCACACTGGGCTTATTTTTATTGTGCTGCAGCTTCAGACCGAGAACAAGAACAAGAGAAAGCACGTCTCAGATTTCTGCTGCAGTCTGCCCCTGCCTCACTGCACCAACCATGCACCAAACACTTTCATTTCACTTTTACACAGATACAAATTGATCCGTTGGGAAATTTAGTCCGGGGTTGGTGAAGAAGTATGTAATAATGTAGTTCAGTGGTCTTGAAATTGTGGTATAAGATGCGAGCACAGTGGTATAGGTAATGTACATAGTTCTGTAGTATACTGACCTTGTTTTGACCAGGTTTAGACCAAGATATAGTTCCAGTTTAGTCTCAGTTTTGATGTGGTGTGCATGCAGTTTCAGTCTTTGTTTACACCTGGTTTAGGGATTAGAGATCAATATGTTTTTTTTCATGGAAGATCCCTGTTTAGAATCCAAGAAACCGATGGCCAATATTTCTGCTGGTATTCATCCGCATTCATCCACAGCCCCTCTTTACTACAAATGTATAGAAGAGCAGTGTAGTCATGTTTTGTGCAGTTGTGTCTTGGCATTAAAGTTTTCAAACAGACCTTTTTATGTGTACTGTATTTTTCGGACTATAAGTCACATCAGCCAAAAAATGTGCAATCAAGAAGAAAACACATATATAGGTCACACCAGACTATAAGTCACACGTTTTGGAGGAAATTTTTTATAAAAATCAGAGACCAGGAACCGACATTTCATCTTGAAAGGCAAGTTATAGTAATAACAATAGAACAGAGAACAACAGACATATGAACAGTTCTTCAGATAACTATAGCATAAACAGCATAACAGAACAAGTTTACCAATCTCTCGATCTCACTCCAAATCACTAAATCCACTGAATTCTTCATCCTCAGTGTCACTCCTGAGCAACTCCGCAATCTCTGGAGGTAAACAGAGCGCCGCTTCCTCTTCTGCGTAGCTGTCGTCAGACTCAGCATCAGGTCCAGTTAGAATTATTTCTGCTTTTCTGAATCCCGACAGGATATTTTCAGTTGTCTTTATAAGTTTGTTTAAATTTAAAATTTTCAGTGGTACAGAAGTAATGATGGACTGACATGATACCAGACAGGACAAAGGCTCTTTCTGTAGGAGACATGCGCAGTAGAGTGTAACGTGATAATGATGCAGGAGTAATAGAAGATGCTGACACACAAGTCTAGAGCGCCCTCTCATGGCTGACAGTGTGAAAATTTTAATATATAAGTTGCACCGGAGTATAAGTTATAGGACCACCCAAACAATGAAAAAAGGGCGACTTATAGTCCGAAAAATACGGTATTCTTCTTTTATGTGTATTATGTATGTACCTCAGAAAGTGCATATATCGGCCAACTGATATATGATTGGTCTATTTCTCTTGGGGATTGTTCATTTTAGAATGGGTTTAATCACACTGTAGTCCGGTCCAGTCAGAACATGGAGCGTAAACTGAACTATACCAGTGCAGGAATGGGACCAAATCAAATTCAAGTGTGAAAGCAACCATGGAATTAGGAGTTTACATAGTATTCATGGTTTTAACCTATTTTGGGGCTTGCTTATCGCTGACTTCAACCTGGTCCAATACTGATTCATCATTTAGGTTTATGTTATTCTGTAATAGTCCTGATGGAGTCCCTGCTAAAGTATTGTATAACTTGTTTTCGTATAATTTCATCACTAAGTCCTGGTTTCATCCTGCTCCTTTGATTGTATTTGAAAAGCCAACATTTTCCTTTGTGAGTTTTACTTTGAAAACCACTGATCTTGCTGCTTCATTCCTTCCATTGTCTTAATTATGTAACAAAGATGCTCACGCGTTACACTGTTATCGAGTGAGTACGAGCGCATGCAGAAGTGTGAAGCAAGGACACAGGGAGCGCTGATTCATCGGAGGCTGACAGTGATAGGCTCAAAATGGCAGTGTGGATATTTAATACACTAATAACTATAGACAGGCATGGATTTTAATGGACTTAAGGCTAATAAATTATACATGGGCATACAAGGCGTTTCACATATGGCTCACCTGCCCACATTCTGTTTATCCTGTGTAGGTTTGGTCACGAGCTAATTATGTCATTTCATCCCACGCAGCATAAGGTAATGTGGAATATGTGAGAAAATTATGAAAACACAGGAATATTGTTTGTATATATGCAATATATTCTGTGTACCATTGCAGGCTTAAATTGGCTCTTAGTACAAGAACAATCCATAGTTTTTGCTTCTAAAATATAAATGTTGTCAGTATATTCCTCAGCTGCCTTTCCTGTACCTTGTGTAATTTCATTTTGCAAGTTGTTGAATCAGCTTAATGTGGCAGACCAATATGACTGCACCGCTGCATGTTGTCCAATATCATCAAACATTGCATCGTAAGTGAGTCTGGTGACAAAAGTAGTGATTTACAACCCTACAGGCAAATTACATTAATGTTGGTGTCACTCATGAAATATATGTAAGATAAGTTGTGTTGTCATGAGGAACATATATAGTACCGCAAAGGTCCTATATTACGCAAACATGACGCTTGTGACTTTTAAAGCATGTTCTAATGCTGTTTCCTCCTCAAAACATAACATCTTTTGTTTTGTGTTGAGTAACCCTTTTTATAATTACATCTCCAAAACACAAAATACTATACTATTTATTAATAATATGTTCTGCCTTGATGTCATGTAGTAAGTTAAGAGCTACCTTTTACATTTTGTTCAGTAGCGACTGGCATTTCCAGAGCTGAAATCATTTAAATGATTCTAGTGAAAGTGTTAGGGGTGTGCAAAAATATCGATATGTTTTATTGTTTAATGTGATACAGTATTGATATCATGGGCTGCTGTATTTTTTGGTATATTTTGCAAAATTATTTTGTTATAGTGCTACAGTTTTTTTGCTTGTTTAGAGAAAGGGAACTCAAAACATTTGACATTTTCACTGTTTTGATAATTAAATTGGGCGTGTTTCAAATTCACTTTGCACAAGAAGTGGTTTTAAAAACTGAACTGTATTGAATTGATCTGAAATATATCATATTGAATTTCAAAGCTCTCTGTATCGAGATATGTATCGTATCATGGCCTATGTATTGAGGTATGTATCGTATTAGCAACTTGTTAATGATACCCAACCCTAGAAAGTGTATGGCGTTTTAAAACACAGTGGAGCACTTTCTGTATTACCACATGACATCACAAGGTGGAACAGAGTGTTTTCTGTTTCAGTCTAAATACCCGTGTGAATGAAACAAAACACAGCTCCAGGTATGTTTTTGATGAGGAAACAACATTATAACATAGATCAAAACATAATATGGGCCCTTTAAACACTGTAAACAACCAAGACGCAGTTAGAAGCTTTAGGCATGCTACATACTGTCATGGTTAATGAATGGATGCCTGTAGATAAACAAATTAGTATGCCATACAACACTCTATCTCCTTCTCTATTTCCCTTATCTCCTTAGCTTACTTATACAGTCATTTGAATATTGATGTGACTTAGGTTTAATGCTGATGCCCTACACAAGATGGTACTTTAATTATAATATTCAAACAGAGGATTACAGTATATTTTGCTAATTTGTGCCTACTGCCTTTAGTAAAACACTTTGTAGCAGTGTCTTTTACAAATGTGAGACACTTACGAGGTCCATGATGGTGTAATGCTCCTGAGTATACATAACCCAGATATACAGGCGGCGCTGACAAGGAGAGCAGTTATAGTGAAGGGCCTGCTGGATTTAAAAGCTTTTTCTAACTGTGAGAAATGTTTGCAATAACTATAATGTTGATGCTTATAAAAAGATGATTATTGGATTAGACATTGTATTTCTTAAAGGTCCAATATTACCAAATGGATTCTAGTGAGTTTTATACCATGTTAGAATGTTGTTACCTCATCAAAAAACATACCTGGAATTGTCTCTTATTTCATTCACACATTTGAGTCATCCTGCATTATTACTCTGCCTGCATCTTCAAAGCTCAAAATGCTCTGTTCCACCTTGTGATGTCATGTAGAGGTTTTCAAGTTAATGATTACCTTTTACTTTTAGTTCAGTAGAGACAGGCAATTTCGGGGCTGAAATAATCTAAATGGTTCTACTGAAGGAGTTTTAAAACACAGTGGAGCACTTCCTGTATTACCACATGACATCATAAGGTGGAACAGAGAGAAGAACTGAGTCTAAATATGCAGGGTTTGTGTGTTAAACATGTGTGAATGAAACAAAACACATATCCAGGTATGTCTGTGATCAATAACATTAAAACATAGATTAGGAAATAGCATAATATTTAAGTATATTTTGCCTGAATGGGAGTAAGGTTAATTATCCAGTCATTATTATCATTATCATTATTATCCGACGTTATCCAAACAATATTGCAACTAAGGTATTCAAGGTTATAATAAAGCAAACCTAAACACTATTATTGGCTGACGTAATGCATAATTGTGCATTATCCAAGTCTTCAAGTTACAACCACAAATAAAACATACCATATCATGTTTAGCTTGCAAATAATAGAACTGACTTCATCTTGTAACCAACACTGATTTGTTGGCAAAGTCTATTTATATATGCTTTAATTAAAACTAGTCATGATGCAGAGATGAACCCTTGTACTGACACAGTATTCAGCATGTCTATTACAAACCTATTAGTCGTGTCCTGTTAGAAAAACATTATGTAATGTCATTATGTGACAGTGACATGTTATTGATTGATATTCACCTGTGACTATTTGTAGCATGTTCACGTATCAGTTACCCAGCACACATCTCCCCTGGGAGCCATCATTGATGTAATATAAAAATACAAAACAGTCAGTCAGCAGTTTGACAAAGACACATGTCGACACATGACTAAAACATCATCTGCTGCATCATATTATATTTCCTGTGTGTCCTTTTATGTGATGGTGCACTTTCCCATAGTGCAATGGGAACGCCAGCTTCAGGAAGTAAGCATTTGAAAACACTGAAGTATCAACATTCAACTATGGTTACATCACGTTTAAAAGATGTGATGAATGAATTGAGCAATCCTAAATTCTCTATGAACATCTTTATATGCAGTGTTTTATTAGCATGTATTGCCTTAAAAGCTGTCAAAAGTTTATGTTTATTGATAAGCTAATCTTGGTTCTTCACCAGCTAGGGAGTGGATTTGAAACCAGGATAAAAATAGGATTCACATTTTGACTGGAAATGTGTGTACTAGAGATGCTCCTGTACCGATATTGTTATTGAATTTTGACACCCACCCTGAGAAATTTACTGAATTGACTATTGACATCGGTGGTTTGGCATATAGTTGGATGTAGTAAGACTATTTATTGGCTGATGTTGGCCTAGAACATCTCTTATTGTAGAACTTTTATTCATACAATCAGTATCTGAACTGTAAAACTGGTGCGATATAAGTGTACTGATTCCAAGAGATTGAAGTATGTAACAAAACCTGAAATTATCCGATATCAGTAGCACAGACTGTAAACAGCATGTATTTACTGAAAACTAAAATAAAATAAGGCAAAACAGATCCTAATTTATTAATTTATCACTCAAGAAACAACAGAACAGCTTTGTATAAATAGAAATTCAGACACTATGAGACTTTCTTGGTGAAATACAACCATAAATAGTCTTACATCAATTCATAAGCGGATATCCGATACAGTAAATCTTTCCAATATTGTGCATCCCAAGTTTTGGTGTGGTATGATAAAACTATAAAGACTGGGATGAGGCTTTAATACCATGAATTCTAAACATATTTTTTAAACAGACGAGTGCCATCCCAGGTCATCTACAAAGGCCAACAGTGACAGACAGGGCTTATTCTGGCCACATTCCCTCACTTTAAAATCTCTAGACAGCACTGCGCTCACATCTCTCTCTTCTCTTAAGTGGGGGAGGAGGATTTGTCCTACAAGTTAGCTTTTATAAATAGGCT